GCTAAAAATTGCTTTCCGCTTTTCAAAAGTACGAATCCCTCGAGCATTTAGTGACAAAAGGCTAAAATCAACGTTACTACGCCCTACTTCGCCAAAGGGAAAAACAACTTCATTAGGTGGGAAAAGTTAAGCGTCAGTTTGGCACCTTCAAACTTTAAAGAATATATCCTCATTAACGCGCCAGAATAGCTTTGAAAAACATAGTAAAAGCAAAGCAGAACATCTACAAAAGCAAAAACGAAAAAATTACATTTCAACGAGATACTGAAAAACACAAAACTTAAAAGAGCAGCAAGATAAATATCCTTAACGCTGCCCTTGAGGATGGAACTAATTAAATAATTCGACATCTCTCCTAGAGAGCTTTTGCTGCATGGTTATAATATACAATAACCAAACGATAACACCTTACAGCCTTGCTATAACAAATAAAGGTCACAGATAATATAACCCTTGACTCAGACGAATCTGAATTGCTTCTCTCTGATATTGTACGTTTCAAAGAAGAAAGGATGGTTTCCATATACAAGAAATGCAGGCTGCCAGAAAATTAACTCAATAACCAGAGCGGAGCTCTCGAAAACACGTCTACTCGCTACGCATGCCAGCCCCAGTCTCCCTGCACGTGCATCATGAAAAAAGAAAGAAATATACAAAAAAGCATGATGCACGTGCATCATGCTTTTTTGTATATTTCTTTGCTGTCACTGCACGACCACCACGTGAAAATGCCTAATTTCACGTTTTGTGAAGGACGTAAACAAGCAATGACAAAATCTTCCTTCTCTTTATGAACTTGGATACGATTGATAGAAATTCAGCTCCAGGAGAGTTCGCTTGCATTTGACAAAGTAAGTGAGTTGGAATAATCACGAAAGAGACTGAAAAAATGTGAGTTCACTCTTCATGCGACGTTTTCGTGTGGTTGTCAGCTGTCGTGGCATATAAAACTCCCTAATCATTAGGGATCACTCTCTGTAAACTATAAACGTAAAGTCAATATTCGGGGTTTTAAATATATCTTTTGTTCATTAAAACAGTGCGTGGTAATCAAGCGTACCGCAGTCCCATTAAACACTTCTTTACAAACAAGCATTAGTATGCATGCCTTATAAAATACCGGGGAAGTTATGTTATCTCATCACTCGATATCATCCTCGTCAATAATCCATAAATCGCCGGTATGATAATTATAATAATAAACCTAACCACCTTCTTCTTCGATTGTTATGTTTACGCGTTGAACAAATCATTTCCGCAATGGTTACTTATCTTCTGGACTCGATTGATTTGCAGTTTGCTTTTCTCCCTTTTCACGCAGAAAGATCTGTATATGAACAAATAAAGATACCTATACGTAAATAAAAATAGAATTCTTTGCAATGAAATTTTTTAGGATTGACATTAGGAAACATGCTATGTTCTTTGTAGAATCTGAATATGCCAAGCTCCATAGGAACAAGCGCGCGGCCGATGCACTGAAGAACACTACGGGAACTAAAAACACAGTAGACAGAGAAGCAATTCTGAAGATGAACAAACTATTATCAGCGATAAAACCTCAACTTTGTCATTCAAATGGTGACACCTGTCCCCCAGGCCCTCCTGGTCCACCTGGACCGAAGGGAGATAAAGGATCCCGGGGACGAAGAGGACAAAAAGGACGAATAGGAAATAAAGGTGACCAAGGCATTATGGGATCACCTGGAAAGAGTGGCAAGCAAGGCATCATGGGACCTGTAGGTTCGAAGGGTGATGTCGGACTCAATGGACAAAAAGGAGACGTGGGACCTGCAGGCATGCCGGGAGCTAAAGGAGAACCTGGTGAATCAATTTCAGCTCCTGTTGTTGCTGTGTCCCCTAAAAAACTGACAGTTAACGAAGGTGGATCAGCCTCGTTTCAGTGTTCAGTGAGTGGTAATCCTAATCCTACAATAAAATGGAGTAAAACGAACAGACAGTCCAGTCGGTCAGTGGTTTCAGGAGGAAAGTTGCTTCTTAAGAATGTGCGAGGAAGTGATTCGGGTACCTATAACTGTTCAGCGGTCAACATTTTAGGACAGGCGCAGGCACTGGTGCAGCTGATAGTAAATGGTAAGATCGTTATGAAATACAGAAAATTTCAGAAAATTGTTTGCGAGTATGCTGTTGTCNAACAAGCGCGCGGCCGATGCACTGAAGAACACTACGGGAACTAAAAACACAGTAGACAGAGAAGCAATTCTGAAGATGAACAAACTATTATCAGCGATAAAACCTCAACTTTGTCATTCAAATGGTGACACATGTCCCCCACTGCCCTCCCGGTCCACCTGGACCGAAGGGAGATAAAGGATCCCGGGGACGAAGAGGACAGAAAGGACGAAAAGGCGACCAAGGTTTTATGGGATCGCCTGGAAAGAGTGGCAAGCAAGGCATCATGGGACCTGTAGGTCTGAAGGGTGATGTTGGACTAAAGGGACAAAAAGGAGACATGGGACCCGCAGGCATGCCGGGAGCTAAAGGAGAACCTGGTGAATCAATTTCAGCTCCTGTTGTTGCTGTGTCCCCTAAAACACTGACAGTTAACGAAGGTGGATCAGCCTCGTCTCAGTGTTCAGTGAGTGGTAATCCTAAACCTGCAATAAAATGGAGTAAAACGAACAGACAGTCCAGTCGGTCAGTGGTTTCAGGAGGAAAGTTGCTTCTTAAGAATGTGCGAGGAAGTGATTCGGGTACATATAACTGTTCAGCGGTCAACATTTTAGGACAAGCGCAGGCACTGGTGCAGCTGATAGTAAATGGTAAGATCGTTGTGAAATAGATAAAATTGTTTGCGAGTATGCTGTTGTCTATTCCTGTACATTGCATTTGGCTTGGTCAAACCCTTCATTCCAAAATGAAGAGAAAATGGATATCGTATATTGCTTTTTCACACTGTTAATGCTTTCTGAGCTCAGGTCTCTACTCTAGCCTTTAGCATTTTACATCACCTTGTTTCGTTTAAAAGTAAGATATGAAAAGTCGAGAACGGCAACTAGGATTATTAAACAACACATGTCTTCACTGATCTTTAATCATTTGAAGTTGCAAGTGCTACAGTAAAATATTTGAACTTGCAATAGCTGATGTTTGAGGCGAATTTAGATATGTGGTAACAGTTTTAAATTAACGCCACATTTGCGCTCAAAGCAAGATAATTATCGAATGGTACTTACGTGAGTTCAGAGAATTTAAATGGTATTCTTTTTTGCTAGGTAGCCCGAAAGCTGGCAGGTTCTAGTTAAAATTTAAAGACTGAGTCTTTGTTAAATGTTTATTCCTATTGTTACTCAAAGCAAAGTTAACCATACAAACAGAAGTATTCTCTTTGTTATAGTTTACCCCCGAGTTTCCCTTCATCCGGGACCTCATTACGCCATCAAAGGAAAAAGTTACACTCTTCCAGTTTGTCACGTGACTGGATACCCAGCACCAGTGGTCACTTGGAGAAAGTCATCCGGTTCATTACCCCAGGGAAGGGTGAAATACAACAACAGTGCATTACAAATTCTGCATCTTCGTAAAAATGATTCTGACCTCTACTTTTGTGCGGCATCAAACCTTTTGGGACGTGTTGAAAGAAAAACTCTTTTAGTTGTTGTCTCCCCTCCTCGGTTTACTGTTAAACCACCTTCTAAAGTTGTCGCGCATGTTGGTGGCAGTTTAAAGTTAAGCTGCAACGCTTCTGGTGATCCATCACCAGTGATCACCTGGAAAAAGCAAGGAGGTCCACTGCCAGTTGGGAGGAGCCAACAGATTAATGGCGATTTGGTGATCAGAAGGGTCACAGTGAATGATAAAGGGATTTATAGTTGTGTTGCAACAAACGCTGGAGTGTTTAAGGCAGAGGCTGACACCTTCATTGAGGTTAAAGGTAGGAAAGACGAGAGAGGATGTTTCTGATTCGAACCATGCAGTTACTGATCGAACGATCTCTCTACATAATGCCCCAAACGACATCCAGTGTTAGGATGTTGCTTTCGAATGTACAATAAGAAGCTGAAAAAGTGAATCTCGCCAAATTTTGTCTTAATTAAAGACGTGTTCTACCTCCAGGGCAACTGGCCGAGTGGTTAGAACCGTTACAAGAAACACGTTGCTACAATCGGCGACAAAATTGTTGAAACATTCTACTCAAGTAGGTCAACTACAGAGAACAAAAGAATTCACACCCCTCCCCCAGCTCCTTCATTCAAAGTTGGGGTGTTTGTTGTTTTCTACAGGAAGCTCGAGCAGCGGCACAACATTGCATGGAGGGGATGCGATGGGGGAGGAAAAGCTTTATTGTCCCCTCTGGAAGTCAGTAAAGCGTCAGAGAGCCGCTTTAGGGCGAAGTGTCTCAACTAATTTTGTCGCCGATTGTAGCTGATATAAGATGCACCACAGCGCAACTTGAAATTATAATATGTACCCATTTCAATTTCCGGAGCGACCAGCCATAAAATGCCGCAAAAAGAAAACTTTCTACTCGTACAAATTAATTAAGCCTCGGCGTGCGGTCAACATTTTCGGGGAAATTGGCACAGTTACCCTCTCACGTCGCATATTAGGAAGCTTATGCAAAGTTGTTTTTGAGAAACGGCACCTGTTAACAGGATGTGAGGCATCTTCCCAGAGGGCTTCTTCATTTTTATGCCTTGAATCCACCTTATTTGTACTGCTATGTGTCTTTACACTTAAAGAGACAATTTACCTTAAACATTAGCATTAGGCATAACCACAACCCAAGAATGCAAAACGTCTACTTCAATACGTATGATGATCGTATGAAGCGTCTCTAAACTAATTTGGTTAGTAAAACGGCTATAGCCGTAGAGTGGCTTAAAGTCAAAATTATGCAACAACGCACTAAGAAGTTCATTAACAGTGGATTACTTAAAAGTAACTAATAATGAAGAATACTGACACGCAAAGCAGTCAAAATAATAACTGAAGCAGGTATGTTCTCGGTAATTTGTGATTCAGTATCTACAAATGTTTTAAATTTTTTGTGTTTGACACTGATCTGGTGTTAATGCTATGAAGTTTTAACAATGAAGAGGTACGTAAAAAGATAGTCGTTGAGAACTATCAGCTTTCTTCAATTTTTTTGTTTATTATTATTATTATTATTATTATTATTATTATTATTATTATTGTTGGTTTTCGAACTAAAAAACTATCGACCCTACCGAGATTTTACTTTCACGATGCATTAGAGCAGCTGAAAACTAATTTTCATACAAATTTTCGCTTCAAAAGGGTTCTTGGTTTTGTGATAGAGTACGCTTGAATTTTTAAGCCTTTGCGTGACGCGGCGTTTACATGACGGCCAAGAGAGCTGTCATGTAGGTTAAAAAATGACTTATTTCAGGAAATTTTGCTATCTAAACAGTTCATGTATTATAAAAAGTATTACTTTAATGTTTTCACGCTTTTGCAGCAAAACTCGGTAACAGATGCTTCTGTTGGTTTCAGTCCGCCATGTTGGAGCTCAGCCAGGTGAGCACCATCATGGCGTCTCCATACAAATCTCTATAAGTTTGGGTAAAACATTTCTTCGGATATCTTGTATACGAAATATTCCTCTGACCTGAATCTTGGCGAGGGTCTTTGTAAATGTACTTCCTTTCATTTCCCAGATTCTGGACTTTATCTATTGAACGGTTTTGATTTTTATTTTGATCTATTTTGAATGGCGTGACACTAAAAACCAGCAATTATTTTGAAAATAAATTATTTAGATGGCCTCGCTGTATCCACCATCCTTAGCAGTCTTGACAGCAAGTACCTTGACCAGCTAAAGTTGTATTTATACCCAGCTCTTCAGAATCCAGGTCGCAGTAAGTTTGTGAGGTGTTGGCACGCTAAGACAGACAGTTGGGCGGCAACAACATTCCACAGTAACTGTGGTGGAAAGGGTCCCACTGTAACCATCGTCCAAGTTGGTAATTACATATTTGGTGGATACACTGACAAGTCTTGGTCTAGTCCTAGTAAGTACTAGTTACATATTTGGTGAATACACTGACAAGCCTTAGGGTGATACTTATCATTTTTATGTGGACGGGGGCAAAAACGATTCTAACACTCTTTATGTACATTTATGCCCATATTCTTTTGTGAAAAAAATAGAGAGAGGAGCCCGATGGGCTCCTGACAGTGATAAATTTCTCCGTTTTCAGGCAGAATTTTAAGACAGAATTCAGACAAAAAAATCTCCCTTTTCAAAAAATAATATCTGGATACTCCCGTGGATAAGGCCTCTTTGATAAGCATAAGTCACATACACCGTTGGCGTAAAGAGATGGTTAAAAAAAACAACAACAACAACAACAACAAGAACGAAGCCGCATGGAGGGGGACATGGGGGTTTACGGTATTGCGGTATTGGGCTTTTTTTCATGCGGTATTTCAGTAATTTTAATTTTAACGTGCGGTATTGCGGTATCATCTAGCTCTGCGGTATGCGGTTTTTCATCATTTTGGCTGACGGTATTCGGTGAAATAAGATTGTTCACGGTATTACGGTACCGTTTATTTGCGCTTTCCTTTAGACAAAGTACGCAAAACAAAACACAGTAGGACATAAAGGTCGATAANTAGCTCTGCGGTATGCGGTTTTTCATCATTTTGGCTGACGGTATTCGGTGAAATAAGATTGTTCACGGTATTACGGTACCGTTTATTTGCGCTTTCCTTTAGACAAAGTACGCAAAACAAAACACAGTAGGACATAAAGGTCGATAAAAGTTAATATTTAGAAGTCTTGAGACATAACGGTAAAGTTATGGTCGATAATATACAATGTGATTGTCGTTGCATCCAATGATAATGAGTCGTCTCAAGTTACCTTACCAGGCTTTTCGATCTGTGTACCTGTGCCGGTAATTCGAGGTCTTACACGTTTTCTCACAATGGGTGAGATCGCTGAGGTTGAAGACGGCGTGGTCATCATTGACTGTGTGGCAATTTTTTTATAAAGAGGGCGAAGGAGGCGAACATTATCGCAACAAGAATAAGTTTAGATGTCGGATTTCGAGAATTGAAAAACGCCTTGTAAAGGTAAAAGAGAAAATTTGGTAAGTTTGCCTCTTACCGGCGCGGCGTGTGAGACAGTCGAGGTAGTTGACTCCTGAGAGAATGACGTGCTAGACTAGACTCACTTATCAAAACTCGCACTAGACGTGGGTGGAAAGGGTTTTGGTTGGTTTGTTTTTCGCGCTTTCAAGAGTTATCTTTAGTGGAGTTAATTAGTTGTTGGGTCGACCTACCAAAAGGTTGAACGAATGTAGTTTATTTTTCAGTGAAAATGTGCGAAAAATTTGCGAACTACCAAAATATTAAAAAAAACATGGACATGTGGTGCATAAATGCCTGAGATAATTAAACGCGCTAGATGGAAGCAACCATAAGTATTCGGAACCGATTATAAATGTGATTAAAATATAATATGCGGTATCGGTATTTAGACGATTTTCGACGCGGTATTTCGGTATTTGCCATAATTTTTCTTACGGTATTGCGGTATTTGGTCCCCCCCCCCCAATGTCCCCCTCCGCATGGGCTGTTTTATTTCGATTTTTTTTTCTCCCCGGAGTATTCTTTTTGTCTCTTAAAAATGTCCGGTTCTAATAAACGGACAATATAATAAAGAGAGTTCTAGTAGCTCTATAATGTTTAGGAATGTACTTTTTCAAAATAACTAACTGATTTTTGGTGAGGATTGGTGTATTGCCTGGCTTTGTTAATCATTATAGAATATTTTATCCAAAAGGTTCAAAGGTGAAAAACAGCTTCGAACACAAAATATATATTTATAGCTGTCATGCTCGTCCTTGCCACTTGAAGTGTTTGAATAATTTAAATTAATATCTGAAAAATGTTTTTCCACAGGTTCTTGTCGTTATGTCTATTCAAGTAAATCGTTCCTGTTCTCGTTATATAACATCAATGGCTACGCTCCTATTAAGGTGAACATCAAGTCAAGTAGTTATAGTGGCGCTATTTACACATGTTCCAGTTACGGACCAACCTTTGGTGGGGGAAACGACCTGTACATATCCCACGACGCTGCAATTAACAGCAATTCCTACACCTACTGTGGCTTCAGCTACCCCCTCCCCCCTGGGTACTCTGCATCTGCTACTTCCTGTAGATTTTATGCAGGATCCTACAATTTCACTCCCACTGATGTTGAAGTGTTTTACGAGACAACAATTTAAACCCTGTAAAGGTGGATCACGTCTGCAAATCCAAGCAGTATAAATACGTATATGGACGCGGTTTCGTAGACTCCTGAAGGAAAGTGTTTTAAATGGAGGTTTTTGTTTCAATCAAGTAATAACAAATTCTTTTAAAATCAATTCCGAGATCACCATTTCTGCCGTAATTACACAAGCAGTAAAGACGGCCTTCTCGCCTGAGAAATCGGCTTCGCTGCTCGATAACAACTCCCCAACGCCAGTAGTTACGCAAGTGCCAACTGGACTTGTTGAACAGGCTGTGGATGACGACGCCAATGTCATCACCAATCCTCAGTCAGGTAACAAAGTTCAAGGAACTTTCACCAGAAGCCGACCAGTTTCCGACCCCCATCCCCGAGAACCTATTGCCGAAGAGTTGGGTGCTAACTTGACAGGTCTACTAAATTCTACTCTCACAGCCAGCTCGCGGCGGCTGTATCAGCGTGCGTGGGTCGTTTTCCGCCAATTCTATGCTCACTTGTATGGTTCAACCAATCCTCCTTTACCTTTACCCCCTACTTGTATCCGTCTTTTTATTTCTTATCTCTCGTTTCGTAAATTGGCCTGTTCCACGATCAAATCATATCTTTCTGCCATTTCCTAAGCACAAAAGCTCAAAGGTTTTAATGACCCTACCAAATCTTTTCTAATTGACAAGCTGTTGACCGCTTTGAGCCGTCAACAGCCGTCGGACATTCGTCTGCCAATTACACGGCCCATATTGCACCAGCTGATTCGCTCTCTTACTTTTCCTAACTCTTCGGCATTTCAGCGTTCTCTTTTTTCGGCGATGTTTCTTGTCCGCGTTTTACGGTCTTTTTCGCATAGGTGAACTGGCCTCCAAGGGCACACGATTTGCGCGTTCTGTCGTTCAGTAACGGTCGGCTAACATTCTTATTTCGTCAAGGCCAAGTGCAGGGGGCAAAGATTACTATTACCGAGTATGAGCATAACGCTAGTCGCAGACCTTTTGACATTTTACTTGCAAAGGATGTCTCTTCCCCTTTTTGCCCTGTGACAGCCCTATATCAGTATTGTAATATCAGGGGAAATCGTCCAGGGCCACTTATTTGTCACGCTGATCAGACCCCCATCTCTGTTCACCAATTCAATGTCGCACTTCAGCAGTGCTTATCTTACTGTGGTCTGGACAGTAGTCGGTACAAGACTCATAACCAGGGCGGATAAAGGTTGGGCGGTGAAACGAGCGCGTCCGAGCAAAAAGGTGTGATGCAGTGGACTGGGACTCTGCTTAGAAATGTTGCTTGTTTTCGACTTCGGTCATCGGTCAGGGCTTGCGATGTGGTTTGTACATTAGACACTGCCGCTGTCACTGAATTATGGCAGCTTGATTTATTTTCTTGCACTTCTTCCTCGTTCCTTTGTGCTGGTACGCTGCCTCCGAGAGGCAAATGTTGCTATTTTTTTGGCGGGAGGTTTAGTTGGAGTAGACAAACATCTCTTTCAAAGGGTTTCTTTTATTACTTCCATGACTCTACCACTGAATT